GTAAATTCTGTGGTGGTGGTTTGAGTAGTGGTTGGTGAAGTAGTTGTAGTTGTAAAAGTGTCCGGAATTGGTGTTGAGGTTATTGGAGTAGTGGTTGGTATTGTAGTAGTAGTTTGAGGAGTTGTCATGGTTGTAGTACCTGTGGTTGTTGTAGTTTGTGTGGTTGTGGCAGTGAAAGGTGTAGTTGTGACTGTTGTAGTTTCTATGCTGGTGATGGATGAATGTGTAGTTCCTATTGATGTAGTTTCTGTAGTTGTAGGAGTCAGTGTGGAAGTTTCTGTTGAAACAATGGGTGTGCCTGGAGTAGTTGTAGTTTCTGTGGTTGTGGTAGTGAAAGGTGTAGTTATGATTGTTGTAGTTTCTATAGGGGTGGTTGTTAAAAGAGTAGTTGTTTTAACTTCTTTGGTTGTGGTTTCTGTTGTGGTGGTGGGTGAAGGTGTAGTTCTCACTGTTGAAGTTGTAGTTTCTGTAGTTGTAGGAGTCTGGGTGGAAGTTTCTGTTGAAACAATAGTTGTGCCTGCAGTTGTTGTAGTTTCTGTAGTAGTGGATGTGGATGGGCAATGACTAAAATCATCACAGCAGAATACTTTTATTTGATAGTTATAACACATTTGGAGCACTCCTTCCTGATCTTCATTCCTGCAGACAAGTCCAAAGGATACATTGCACTGGACAATTTGGTCAATGTTATCAATTGATTTTTCTGGGAATTTCTCGGCTCGACATTCTATATTTTCAGGTTTGCTGCAGATCACTTTTCCTGCTGCTCTAATATCATCATATGTTTCAGAATCTCCTTTATTGTCCAGACTGGGAAAATGGACATCATGCCATTCAGACCATTTGCATTTTGGTTTACAAGGTGTTATGGATGTGATTTCTCCTGTAGTATATACAGTTTCTGTTGAAGGGCTAGCAGTTGTTTCAGGGATTGTTGTTGATGGAGCTGTGGTTCTAAGAGTTGAAGTTGACACACTCGTTGTTTCTGTGACTGGAGATGTTGAAGGAGTTTTGGAGGTCATGGTACTTGTTGAAAGAGTAGTTGTTTTAGATTCTGTGGTTGTAGGTAGTGCTGTAGTTGTTGAAGATATACTGGTTACAGTAGTTTCTGGAGTGGTCGTTTTTGTGATGGGTGTTGTAGTCTCCGCAGGCGTTGTGGTAGCAGGAGTTGTATATTCACATGGTACAAAGCTACAGCATAAGATTTTTATCTGGAAGTTGTCGCAGATCATTTGATGCTGATCCTTATTATAACATATTAGTCCCATTGTTGTACTACATTCTACTTTTTGCTCTAGTTCATTTAATGGTGTGTTAGGGAACTTCTCAGATCTGCATTCAACAGCCTTTGGAGCTTTGCAAACTTTATAACCTTTGGCTCTTAAATTATCAAATGTGTCAAAATCTCCATCGTTGATCCCAGACCCTGGATAGCTCACGTCATACCATTGTGACCACTGGCATACTTCACGAACACAGATTGATGTAGTTGGTGTCACTGTGGTTAAAAACCAAAAAGAGTGAAAATTTAGTACTAAGAAATTCAAGCAAATATTCTCCTTTCTATTATACCAAATAGACTGAGCGTGATGTCAGCTATCAGCTGTAGGAAGAGGGGCTTGTCTAGACACTTGCCAAAGGGCATGAGCTAATATACTGAGCTCAAAAATATATCCATTTATTAGGCTAGTTAAATTATAATGAATATCCATTCAAATAATGAAAATAATCACAACATATGAATTTGTCGGTATGCCTGGATTTATCACTTCCAAGGGCATGGCCATTATTTCTTGTGATGTGCTAGGATAAAGAGTAATTACCAAAATTTCAAAAATAGTTGCCTACGTTACACATGCATAATTTGCACACTTGGGAAAAAACATCTTTGCATAAAATTTTCTGTTTTGTGCAGCATGTTTGCACCTTCTCATGAACATTAAGGCCCTGATCCAAAATGCACTGAAGCTATGGAAAGACATCGTTGAATTCAATGTGCTTTGGAGTAGGCCGCATATGCACCTAATTTATTTGTTATATAAATTTACTGCTCATGAACATGTCACATTGCCTGCACTCCTCTCTATTTGTTCATAGAACAATTACTGCAGGGTTGAATCAGGGGTATAAGTTTCCTTATGCTGCCCTAATGTGCTTCAAGTCTGTTTGTAAGGGACCATCTCTTGGGTGGAGAGAGTAGTTCATGCTCCTTGCTGATTCAATGCAGGCCTCTCTGAAACTTCTGAAAAGTTGCCAGTTAATGCCAACTATGCTGGCAGTTTCTGTGATGTAGCACTAAGAACTATACTAAAATGACTAACTAATCTCACGTGTGCTATCAAACAGCCATCAGATGGTCATGACTTTCAGGCATTACCAATCTGGGACAAATTGAACCAGAGATCTAGAGGTGAAATGCATAGTATCTCAGTATTGCAGTCTGAGCAATCCATTTACTAACTGCATTTTCAAAATACTATGATACTGACTGGGATTTTAGGAGAAATTAGTCATTCTGCAATTTAATAAATGAATAATAGGGAATGATTCTATGACTGTGCAGATTACTAGCTGTGGACATTTTCTATATAGCAGTTTAAAAAGAATGGTATAGAATCAGTTACCACAACAGTTTATAAAATACCCATGGGATTGTTTTCTAATGAATCTGTCTGAATTTGAGCAAAGATCATATCAAAACCATGCACAGTGGTTTAATTTTCTATATTTTCATGTTTCAATTTGTTTTCTAGCTATGATCAAAACTATATAAAATATACAAAATGCAAAGAAAAATAGGTCTTATTAGTTTTTGAGTTTCTGGTCCATTCGTTAGAGTTATAAGCATGGTTTGGTAGGTAAATTTCACTCAACAGCAAGTAAAAGTACAGTGAGCTCATGTATTCATTAAAAACAAACCTGTAGTGGTGGATATAGGTGTTGAAGAGGAAAATGAAAATGGTGTTGTGGTTAAGGGTGTAGAACATGCATAGACTTTTCTATCAATTGTTCCATTGTGACCACAAGTTGCAATGATACATCCGCCAATACCATCTGTAGTGTCGTAGATGACATCCTCATACTCATATTGCTTTCCATCATATGTGCAGTGGCATTCTGTAAAGCAAAGGAGAATGTCATCATTAGATTTCCTGTAATATGGAATAGATTGTTCCAAAAATTTCATGTTCAGATAACAGCTGCTTTGTCAACATACCGTCTTCATCATATTCACACTTAATGCCATTCATTGTGCATTCACTGGGGGGGGAAAAGAGAAAAGAAATATGGGACTGAAGATGCATAAAGGATAACCACATACATTTTACTGTTTTAACTGTTTCTATTGCATTTATATCCCAAGGAACAAAATGAAGTTCATGGAGAAAAGTTGTGTGGGTAAGCTCAAAAAGACCTAGAATGTTCTCATCCATCCTGTGATAGAAGGGCCCTGAGCTCTCAAACCGGTGCACTTCTGCTGCAGAAAGGCAGGATGGGCAGGCTCCTTTCAATCTGCAGACAGGATTTGTAACACCATCTGTGCCTACTAACAATACCCTGCACTGCATCCCTTCCATGATGCCACAGAAGAAGGTTTTGGAGGCTGCAGGAAGGGATCCACTGACCACTTCCCCCCAGTGGAGGGGAAGTGCAGCAGGGATGGTGGTGGAGGAATTACTGTTGCTCTTAGGTTGAAATAGCTGCCAGAGAGTCTCTTTAGCTGCTCTGCAGCCTAGTAAGGAGGATTCCCTCTCCTCAGCCCTCGATGGTATGCCCCTGTGAGAACACAGTCCGTTTACTCAGGCTGTGCACAAAGATAGGGATTTCTCACTTACTAATTAAGGGCTAAATTCAGGTACCTTTGTTCACACTAACTAACACTGTACTCCGCAAGTAGTCCTATTGACTTTGTGGAGTAAATTGCTATTCAGCATGAGAAGCATATCAGAATATGTCCCTAAGTAAATATCTGTGTAACGAAGAAATCAGTTACAAAAAATAAAACATATAAAAATACTGAAGGACTCTCCTAGACAGATACATGCCAAGACAATAGCAAAAACAAATGAACAGAATTAAGCTATAGAGCAATTTTAGATAATGATTTCAATAATACCTTGTCAATTTGTTTCCTAAATGCAGTATAAAGAAGGTCTTTTTTTTTTTAGGATAATACAGAATGTGCAATAAAACAGAGAAATATGCTTCAAGCAAATCACTCCAAAGGAAAGAATTTCAGATCATGATCCTTTCCCTTCCCAGTCCCAGAAATAAAAGTGGTTTATGTACTCATTAGTAATTTATGTACAGTAGGCACAAGACCAATTCCTGTTAGCAAACAATGGAGTTTAATGGCCAGTACATTATGTTAGGATCCTCCTAAAATCCTCATACAGCTAAGCTTACCATGATTGACAGTTCTCTTCTGAACGAATGGGTGTTCCTGGCTTGTAATATTTTCCCTTGGTATCATAACAGCCACAGCTATCGACACACTCCATATCATCTTCATCAAAATAGGGCTTGTTCTCTGGACACTTTGGATAGCAGCCTGCAGTAACAAAGAGAGTTATATTGACACTGGATCTCTTACACTGCGGGTGTCTCTAGACAACTGTCTAAACTCTGCATTGATTTCTTGTCGAGGGGTGGAATTTCACCCTTAGTGACATGATGCATATTGCTGCCAAAGCATACATTTCTCTGAGAGTTTAAATGCAATAATTTGGATTTTAATCCCAAAGAAGATCATGACCTCTTTAGAGAATTACACACAATTCAGAAAACTCCATAATCACTAACCTGGCTTGTACTTTCTAATATTATTAAATATATTGAGAAGTAGGAATTTTAGTTTAGGAATTTTTAATTAGCTTTTATAAGTAGAGTGAGATATATATAATGTATTTTACCTTCCAACCCTTGTAACTCATGAAGGCATTTTCCACTTCTGTTCCTGCAGGTCTTCATACAAGGAGACCCACAAGGCTTGTAGTGCCACTCGCATTCCCCTTGCGGGTTGTAGTAATCACAGAACAGAGCTGAAAGAGGGCAAAATGGGTGAAAATATTACATGTAACAAAATGTTTCTAAAGTGCTTCATAGCTATCCATATGCTGTGTACAAATCCCATAACACTAACATAATTCTGCAAGTAGTAAACAGTAGTTATCCTGTTTCTAATTCAATATGATTATCTTAATTCTACAGTTGTATTGACTTCAGTGCTGGTACACTGACAGAACGCATAAAACTCAATTAACTGGAACATAAAATTTTCAGCTGCTACTATGCATTGCTATTACTTACACTGTGACAGATAACAGCTGTGTGTGTGTGTTTGTGTGTATATATATTATATATATATATATATATATATATACTAGAATGGCAGTGGTATATCACAATCTGTAACTAGATAATACAGTAATTTAACAACTAATACAATCACTAGGGTACAGTTTTATTTTAATCATATCTACAATTGGAGATGTGTAGAGAGATTGGAAAAGGAAGTTTTGTAGATAGTTCTATTGATAATTTACTGTTTGCTTTGGGCTATTTTGCTATTTTCCAGATTGTAGTGCATCTCAGGAACAGTACTATACTCCTCTTCATTTCTTCCTATGTTTTTTTTCCCCTTCTCGTTCTTTATTTCTTTTTCTCCCTCTCCCTCCATGAAGTTATGGGGTAATACTCACGACAGATAGATGGGGTTCTCCATGCAACACAAATGCCAGCCTCATTACATGCTTGAGCATATGAAGCTACCGCTGTACAGAAACATTCACAATCTCCCCCAGTGTCACAGGCACAAGCATCAGTCACGCATGCTTCATAATATTCATTTGGTTCAACCTGTTAGAAAAAGAATACATGACATTTAATTTTTGTTCCATGCATTTGTCATCTTGCTTTGCAATAGCAATTCCCTCTCCTCTTAAAATTTCAGTCAAATGTTTGAAATGGATGCTGTTCTTTTCTTTTTCTCTTGTAACATCATTCCCTATAGCAATGGAACTACATGCAGAATAAACTATGATTCTGGAAAAAAAGAGTCTAAATTGGGGGGGAAATGACAAGAATTTTTTTTTATAAAGTCAAGTGAAGACATCAAGTGTAGGACACGCCTAGCATTAGTAATCATAAGAGAAGTGACTACCCTAACAGCTGTGGAACATTACAAATTAATTGGAAAAAATAATATAATTAGATTAGTACATCCTATCACAACAATCGTCCTGTTATCAATTAAATGTATTATCAGAAGCTAATCCTGCTGGACGGAATAACACATCCTGTGATTGTCCCATGTAAAAAGGGTTATCTGATGACGTCTGTACAAGTGTCACATACTTCTTTGATGGACCAGCTTACTTGGCAAAAAGAGAAAATGAATCTCAGTGAAATTTCTGCATAGTCCTCCTGGAATTAGCTATGAGTCCAGTTTGGTCTTAAAGGACCTGATCCAGCTCCCATTGAAGTCAAATCTTTCCATTGACTTCAGTGTGAAACTGGATCAAGCCCATGATGCTTCTTCCACAATCAAATGTACATGTACATTAAAAAAAAGGTAGAGCATCCTTATGTTTAGTGCAGGGAGTGGCAACACAAAGTGCACCACTAAGGTATTCTGTATATAATATAATCCCTACTTAGAAGGATTCCACCTGAGGATTTGCTATACCTGAGAGTGACAGGCAGCGAATACTTTGCTGTTGATTATGCTGCACTGCTTCTGGGCCCAAGAGTTCCTGTAAGGGTTTGCAGTGCAAGGATCCTTGTTGCTCTTGGCATCTGGGCAAGTAGGAGACACCTTCCAGCTGTTTCCAAACTCCAGCACATCTCCTACCACAGACTGACTTCTGGTGGTAAAGTCATTAATGCCATTGCCATCGTAGTTCCCACACAGGCCACAGACCTGACCCTGCACAGAGAAACAAACAAACTGATGAGTGCTAATAAAATGTATTTGCCAGTGCCTGTGATTAACTGAAACTCTGACTTTTTGGATTTAATGTAGACTTTGCGTCTTCAGTGACAGCCTCACACTTTTCCCTGAAGATGCCTTTACTGAAAAATGTACCCTTTTTTTTATTGTACTGAATCCTTTCTGAAGAAAGAAGTAAAGTAGACGCATAATTTTGTTCTTAGGATTTAAAAAAAAACGAATTAACTATTTTTATTTCGTTTTGAATATACCTTATTAGTAATGACCTTTAATGAGTGTTCTGCTACTATTTAGTTATGAAATCATTATGTAATTTGTGGACATGAATGATGTATTTAGAAGCAGCTTATCACCCCACTACATTCTGTCACTCTAAAGGATCTATTTTGAGACACCACCGAAAGGCTGAAAATATGCAATAGGAATTCATTCAATCTTGCAGTCACAATCTTACTTATGTTTCACTGCACCTCCATTTTCTCCTTCAAGAGATAACACCATAGTGTATCCATAAGAGTTGATCCCACACACACAGCTTCTAAAACTCACCTTAAAATCTGGGCTGAGCTTGATGAATATGCTGGTTTTCTTATCCCACATAAGAATCAGCCCATTGTTGGTGTCAATCACCATGTAGATGCCCATGTAACGGACCTTGTATGGCACTTCCCCTCCACGGACCTTCTCTATCACTTCAAACTTTCCGTCACTGAGTACCAGTTCATAGTTCTGAAATAGGAAGAAAAGCCAGTTAAAAAGCCAACAGATTTAATATATCTATAACTATCTGAATTATTCTATAGCATTTCTTCCTAAGATATCGCGCAATTGCTGGCAGCAAGTTTGGAAGTCTACGAAAGGTTATGCTGTCTGATTGAATATTTTTACAGTGATATCTACCTTGGACAATCTATTGTGCATCCTACTCATGTCAGAGATCAGATACACATGTTCTTTCCCACAGTTTATCAAAGAAGCTACTCACCCCTAGGAAGACTTTAATGGCCTTTGAGCAGGTGGTCCCAGTGGTTCCACAGGGGATGTTCTCAGTGATCACTCGGAAGGTTCCAAGGCTGGTACTGTTTTTACCACAGTAATCCTGAGAACAGGAGTTATAGTTAGTGTTAGTAATACAAGGTCACCACATGTAGGAACACAAGATACTTTTAGTGGTGTAATAATCCTAGGAAAGAAGCTCAGTACCTGGACCAGTGTGTATTCACAGTCTCCACTAAAGCTGAAGCGTTTGCCATCAAAAGTAATGTAATGACCATCTCCATAAGCAGAGCAGGTTGCCAGGCAAGGTTCATTGGTGCATTGCCACATTCTGTTTTTACAAGTGCTAGGAGGGAGAAAAAAGTCCAAATGTAACAAAAATACTTAACATATTAATTTCTCCTTATATAGCCAGATGTAAATTTGATTCAGAATGTGTCTATTCCAAAATACAGTAAACCTATGGTACTGGGAAATAGGGCTTACTCATGCTAAACAGTAATCTATCGTAGCTCTGGACCAACAGCACATAGACCCCATTAATTCCCAAAATTTAATTTATTTTCTGATTAAATGGGTGATATGATTGAGAGCCATTTAAAAACCTTTTGGATTTCAAAACCTCTTAGAATTTTTTGAGATGTATGCACCATTGAGGGACTGCATACAGACTGAGCAGGTATAAAGTTTTCCCGTGCAGCTCTAATGGAGATGAGGGCATATAAAGCCCATCGTTGTCCTGCTCATTTACTAACTATTCTTGTTTGGTTTTGAAAAGAATGAAGAGAGCCTGTTTTTTTTTTATGCTGAATATTAGATTTCAACATTTTAGATACCAATGCGGAACTAACTACTAACCCTCTTGCAGTGAAGGATCTCATTGCCAACCAAATTCTAGTGCACAGGCTATGTGTATATCTATCATCACCTTCTGTTGCATGGAATATGAGCCCCACTCAAGTGTGTGCTGTAAGTCTTAATTCTGCTACAGCAAAATGAGATTCTCCTCAAGTTTAAGCGACACGGACATGTAGCTTTAGGACTGTGAAAACCATAACTATTCAACATATACCTACCAGGTGTTACAGTTGACTTTGATTGTTTCTCCTGAATTGTAGGAGGCATCATTGTGAACACATGGACATTCCCCCGCAGCTACACAGCCACCTTTGCCATCTGACACTAGACCATTAGGGCACACGCAGCCAGAGACGCACTGTGTGCTGTACTGTAAGAACCATAGAGAAAACATCACTTGATAAATCATGTCAATGGCAAAGAAACATTCAACTACAACAGCACAGAGTGTGAGAGATTTAATTTTGGTCAGGATATGAAAATGTTTTCAAGTGGGCATAAAGAATTGGCACTTACACATCCCATATCAAGAGTCTGACAGCTCTTCTGGCACTCGGATCCAATTGTGCCTGCAGTGACATTGCTGCAGTCAAAGTAGACCATGGGAGCTGCACAGACTGCAGGAGACAAAAGCCATAAGACATTTGGGATCAAACACAGAGTTATCAGTTATTGCTACAGTAATTATTTGTCATGAATATGCCTCCAAAGAGCCCTGATTTTAGAGTAAAGCCAAGGAACACAATCTAGTTACAATGCTTCAGTTACTGGCAAATAACCTTCATTTGCTCTGTCACACATTTTAGCTCTCTGCTGAAATGATTTTAGCCATGGAATTGGGCACAAGGCTTTGTTTAGAATTATAAATGACCTCAGATATAGGAGCTCATTGCCTTTGGTTGTAAACTTGGAATACAATTCTTCATTATTGTTAGTAAAGAAAATTTACAACTAATTTACACATTACTTTGGAAACAAAATCCATTTGAATCTTTATATAATATATTTCAATTCAGTTAATCCTGTAATAATTGTGCTATAATTAATGGGACAGATTTTAGAATAGCATATGCATAGTTTTCACATGCAATGTAACGGTATGCACAAATGGCCAGTTAGTTACAGAACTGGTTATTTGCATGTTTAATTACCCCCCCTGCAAGCACAGATATGGTAACTGTAGCCAAATCCTGCACTCTTTATTCAGTTAAAACTCCTACTGATACCAGTGGGAAATTTTTGTTTGAGTAGCGACTGCAGGATTGGGTGCCACGTCTTGGATAAGCACCTGATAATAGCTGTAGTATTAAACATATGAACCAGAAGTATGGCCAGAGCCCTGGCCATGCATGTCATTAAAAAAATTGCCATTGGCACATGAGCAATATTTGGATCTTATTGTTTTTTCTTCTACTGTATGGAGAATGGAGTCTGTGGTATGTTATACTTTTGGGTTTACCTAATACCTACTGAAATATGTGATAAGTGCTTTGAACCACCTTTCAGTTGTTAAGAAATACATCTTACCATCATTTCTTTGTTGAAAAAAGAAACTGATTCTTGTTACTATATTAACAGCTGTATTATTTTTCTTTATTTTTTGCTTCCTTTTGCTGACTTTCATTTTTAAGAAGTCTCATAGAAATTTGCCTTTTGGAGAACAATTCATAAAGGACACCCCTCACCCTATATTTATCAAGTTACCGGCATCCAGTAATTTTTGCTTTTAGGAAATTCAGTGGTTATTATGTATTCCCTAGGGCACTTTTCTTTTTTATCTGTAACACTATGACCAGATCTTATCTTGCTCTGAATTAGATCCTTTAGTTCTTGTCCTATTTTGTTTCCACTATGCCACAATATAAAGAATGGTACTTTGCATTTCAAAAATTACATCCTCGCTACTACAAAACTGCTATGCAAATGGTTTCTGATGCGATAATTTCCCTACTGGGTTTCAAATGTTTGCTGTCTTCATCATTGTAATAAAACTGAGTTCACTCAGAAGTGTGAGAGGGAATTAAAATAAAGCTTAAAGGGATTATACCTGGTTCTGGTTTCACTCTCACGCAGTCCAACTTTCCATGTGTGCAAGAGCTGTGAGAAAGAGAAGGGAATTATGTTTGCTTCAAATCATAGTTAGTTACATGGAGAGCTGCTTCTATCTTGCCATACATCCAGTCTTTTCTATGGAATCTGGAATACTGAAATGCCACCTTGTGGCCAGAGATAGAAAATGTCCTTTCAACAGAACCATGTATATTGTTTGCATATAATTTCTGCGATAGCTGTCCAGAGAACAAACAAGCTTGTGCCTTCTGCTAAGACAATGCCACCCAGTCAGTTTGTCGACATAGATTATTACACTTAAAAAGTTTCTTCCGTAATATTATTCGTTTCACCAGCATTCCTCATTTTAACTACAGGGAATATCAAACTGGTAGACTTTTTTAATCTGGAAGAAACCTTTTAAATTCAGGGAGAAAATATGGCTAATTGAGTTAGTTGACCGGATTAAAGAAAGACTTCTAAACAAAGACAATCCTAAAAATTCATGAGTAATTGTGATTTTCACACTGAAAATTCTGAAACGGGGAGAGAAACTCATTTGACTTGACTAGACTCCATAAAATATATATGATTCCATGATTGCCAGTGTCCAGCCCCAGGGTTTTGTTAAAGAACCTCTTACCATATGACACCATTGTCGTGAACAACCTCTCCAGAAGGTAGCACAGATCCTTTGTAATAACAAGGACAGCTAGTAGCGGGCACGCATTTGCCATTTTCATCCATGTAAGTTCCATTTGCACAGGTGCAGCCATCAACTGGAGTGAACTTGATGTTGCATGTGACATCGGGCTCACTCAAAGATCGACAAGTGGGTTGGCAGGAATTGACAACATAGCTGTACGTCAGGGATTTGGGGCACGAGGTTATGGCTTGAGAGAGTAAAATAAAGTAAGTTACATTCATACTTATTTAATGATGGCTATAAATGCCAAATTTTGGATATATTGTGTATGATAGATCCTGTATGTCCACAGATTAAAACTGAATGGATGAAATTCTGCAGTGAGGTCAACAGTAATGTAATTTACATGTCTTTTGTACTTCTACTACAAAATTTACCCCCACGTTACTATCTCGGATGGGTACACTAGAGAACCCCATTGCTGTCAATGAGGTTTCTTCAGTTTAAACAAGAGGAGAATTTAACCCATATTAATTTGTACAGTTTATTTTTTCTGTTTGTTTATTTTCCTCCTTCCACCATCAGTATATTAAAGTAATAAAACTGGAAGCATCCTAATTATATTAAATGGACAGTAAAAGCCTTATGCTCCCTGATATTTCCTTGGGACTTTCATTCAGTGTAGGCATGATTCTCATGAAGCATCTTCTTCAAGTAACTTCCTACTTATCGTTCATTATGTCCCCCGTTACTTATACCCCTTAAATTCTATAAGAGAATTGTTGATAGAACACCATCAAACTTTTGTTTAAGATTTGACTGGGAGAGCCCTGGATTTCTTGGAAACTGGTATAAAGGGCCCACTGGCTGATCATTTTTAACCAGTGAATGGTTTTAAAACTTACTGCAGACATTGGTCCTCCATCCATTCAACAGGACTCCTTTGGCAGCACAGGCTCTGACATAGGTAGAGAGGGCAGCACACATACAGTCCTCACTCTTTTCACAGTTACAGGTGTCAAACAGACAGTTCTAGGAATACATATAAGACTCATTAGTAATCACTGAACTGCCCATCCAAAGAAATTTCCCTTTAAGTTTTTGCATTCACATGTCAAAATCACTGGCTCTATTTAGTCTTATAATGGATTATAGGGCCAAATTCTACCTTGATGTATTCACTTTGCAACCCATTGGACCAAATGGTGCTCTGATTTACCCCAGTATAGATCTGAAGTATGTCAATGGGTTTATTCTGGATTTTCATCAATGTAATTGACAGCAGAATTTGGCCCATTAATGTCTGTATATTTATATCTGTATAAAAATCTAAGCATTTCCTTCTTTGCAGTCAGTTATCTAAGAGTGTTTCAGACATGCAAATTTAGATTACTTCACCGCAAGGGAAATTACCCTGAGTACCTGCCAGAAAGATGCAATCCTTTACAAGGAAGTAAAATAGATGCCTGCAGCTGTATTTTTATGTTCCTCCTTTTATTTGAGGAAAAAAATAGTTTTACTATTTACATCAGATATTTACAATCAATGCAGTGTCGTATACAAAGTGAAACAATTAAACGTATCTTCCTGATAGTGTAAAGAAAAATGCCTACTTAGAGGAGTAGCTTACATGAAATCAAATTACAGTTAAACGTTATTGTAGCCTGATGAACTTGTCAGAAGCAAATGGGTGTCTAAACCAGCTCCTCCTGTTTGGTATGTGTTTCTCTTGGCACTTGGTATCAGGGATCAGACTCTTATTGGTGCTATTATAAAGGTGAAAGAAATAACTAGCAAAGTACCGTGTGGTAAACATCTGGATTCACTGTTGAGTGGCATTCAGCAAAAGGTCCTTGAGTCTCAGTCAGCAATCCACACCAGTGCTGAGCATATTTTTCTGTAAAAACAGAAAATGCTATGAATTCATGTTTCACTTTATGGGTTAAATTCTCTTCCCAGTTACATCACTGTAAGCCCGTTGTGTTCAGTGGAGTTGCAGAAGCATAACAAAGAGTAGAATTTGGCTCTGTATTTCTTCAAACACAAAAAACTGCCCACTCTCTTTGTACAGAAATATGAACGTGTCATAAACTGACTGAAGCTAAATCACAATGGCTGCCTTTGATTAAGCTGGTAAAACTTGAGCTGGTGTTTTGAAAAAGGAGATTTTCAATGTGGATTACCAATGGCTCAATTCATATTAGCAGCAGAAAGAGTGGCTTGTGGACCTTAAAAACTTAAGTTCTTTATTGGTTAGAACAGAAGATTGAGAGCCTTGAACCAATGAATTCTCAGTATGATTCATGACTCATTGTGTGGCACTGGGCAAGTTACATACAGTCCAAACATGCAAAGTTCTGAGCACACCACACCTTCTAGATGGCACTCAGCATCTTACAGGATGGAATGATAACCTCTTCAATGACTCAGTTTCCCCATATGCAAAATGGGAATCTTAACACTTCACTTCTTAACTCACAGAGCTATTGTGAGGCTCTAAAATACTCTATTAGTCTTAAGTATTAGTATTATTTATTAAGAGAAAACCTCAGTCTTGTCTAACAGAAAATGGGTAGGCAAGATTGGATTAGTTAAAATGAGTCGTAGCATCCTGTTAATATTTCTTACAGTTAAATAATTGCTTTGTTTTTCAAGCTAATCTTCTTTTATGATTTAATTTTTAAAACCATCTATATGTAACATGGAATTTAGAATCTGAATTCATTTCTGCTACCTATTTTTGTCAGATTTGTTTAGTCTTCTAATTATAGAAGAAATAGATTATTATAACAAACATACCATTTTCTATGCTGAGGGTACAGGGGTTCTCAAAGATGTTTTTGACATTAGGGCAATCACCCTGGATTTTCCAGGTATTGGCAAAAGCGGCTGCTGTTCCTTCCACTACACCACTTGTGGCTTTGAAGTCATCTGTTTGGATATCGTTGAAGTTTCCACAAAGACCTTAGCGGGAAGCAGAAGGATTTTGAATCTCTCATACAAGATCAAAAGTAATTTCAATGAGTGAGGTCACAACCTGCTCCTTCCTGATTACACATCTTGTTCAAGACCCATGTCTCTGTGTTGCTGGTACAACCATTGTACCTCTGAAAGCTTTCTCTCAGGACATTTTCCTGTGAATATCAGACTAATCTGGCTACTTTTCCTATCGCTATTTCAGGGGCCCTGCAGAACTCTTCAAAACCCACTGATTGGCTATGCTTTTGACTTCTGGGTCTGAAACACCACTACACTTTTATTTGATCAGAGTAAACATAACATAAAAGTAAAAATAGCATTCAGTGACCCTTCTACTTCTTACTCCCAGAGAGAAAGCTTAATTTTATAAAAGCTCAGCCGTGCTTCCTTTCCTGATCAAAAGTCTAAGTCTCTGACTCTCTCTGATCCTGCTTCCTGTCTCCCACCCAAACAAGCAGTCTGGGTGGTGCTTCTCCTCAGTAGGAAAGACACATATTAGATAAGTCCACTTACCACATGTCTGCCCTTTGTGGGATGGGTCCAAGTTTACAAAGAGTTGCATGATGGGTACAAGCTGGATCTGAACCTGAAGCCCAAAGTTTGTTTGTACGATGATGAAGAATGATGAAGGCCTGAACATAGTGACATTGGCTATGGGCAAAGAACACAATAAACCCATTTTTGTATGTGATCAAAAATCGAAACAACTGTCCATTATTTACAAAGATTCTCTTTATACTAAGCTTCTGCTACATGTAGTGTGAAGCTATCACTTGCAGAAAAAAAGGAGAGTTAATTTGAACTGGATCTAAAATCTGGTACAAAGTTAGTCTATTACTATTCTAGGTACCAAGCAGGCAGAACACGCCTCCAGTCTGGTAATTTCTTTGGAACAAGGAGAAGAACATGAATTTCTGTGTCCAAACAGACTTTGGCTCTGTGAGAATTACCTAACATGATGTTGTCCTAGGATCCAATCTGGAAATACTCGATACACATACAGTACTTGTACTTCCTGTATATGTGGGGAAGAGACTAAGGAGGTCCAGATAGAGTGAAAGGCTTTAATGATGAACAATATTCATGAAAACAGGCAGAAGAGGCACAGGGCAACTTAATGGCTCAGTCAGTTGTAGGCTTGGTTTTTGGGTCCCAGTGTATATCAGAATTTGCTTTTTACTCCTACAGTACTAGTTGGGTCTGGAAATACCAGCGTGATAGTGTATGTGTGTATAGAAGATGTTCTCTAATGGTTACATAACAATATCTGATTATCTCCAAACTGAAAAATGCTGAATGAGCAAAAACAATTATTTTAAAAATAAGAGGTTACTTCAGAATGTAACGGAGAGCATAAGCAAAGCACTAGTCTAGCCAAGTCAAAGTCCGCGAATGCCACAGATGTCTCCTAAAAGAACATACCTGCAGAGATGGGCAACTGGGTGTAGATCGTATTCACAAACACGCTGCCAGAAGGTTTGATCACAACAATCTGACAAGAAGAAAAAGACAGTGATTGGCAAGCAGGTTTAGGAACTGTCCAGCACTTTCCAAATATTTCATATCTAGTATTGTTCAAGATGAAGAAAAAGTCCGGACGCTTGATATAGTGAAAATCAACTTTTCAACACAACTTTTTTTGTTACTATACTATTTTCTATAATTGTTATAACTAGCAATTATTTAGAAAATCTGTATAAAATGTAAATGCCAGAGAACTACCAGTATCTTGACTTCCATTGTCTGCACTGCAGTTTCTTTTTGCTTGATCAAGGTTATATCTTATTTGAACAGAAATCAATGCTGACTTCCTAGCTGCGCTGTTCTTTTTTGTGCATGCATCTACCCCAAACAATACATATGTGTGTTCGTTGGTACAGGATTTGGGATCAAGGACCATCCATGTTCAAATATTTTTCCATCTGGGCACAACATAAGGCTGAACATAGTTCCTACTGCATCAGGAACAGAAGTTGTGGTGAGTCTAGTTGGTGATGGGTAACACTTTTTGCAAGCTACAGATCACTCACGTTTTTCTCTGGTCTTCAGTTTAAGCCCATCCTTCCCACCCACACCTACCTACCCAATAACTGTCCATTTTAAAAGCATTCAGGCCAAAGGTTGGGTATCTGTTTTTACTACGTACAGTTTGTCCTCCACCTATGCTGATGGCTACACCTTTCAGGCATGTCTCGGTGTCAGTTAGGCCACATTTGCGGATTTCTCCTAGAACAGTGAAGGAATCGCTGTCACAGAGCTGAAAAAAAGAAAAAACAAACCCATTAGGTGAAAAGGGATCAATATCAAATAACATTCTGGGTAAACTTGGTCATTGTAAATTTTGCTCATTCCTTCCCTTTGTCTCTCTTCCTCATATGCACACCCATTTACACTCACCAAAGTAAGCTGGCGTAAACACATGCAACACAATGAAAAGTGTCAGCTGACCATGGCATTAAATACTTGAGGTACCCATGAGGAGATTTCAGGAGCCTTAATGTTCAGACATTCCTAGATTAGCAACAGATATTTTTGTGGCATTCTCTTTTCAGTTAAAATTTAACTTGACCTTACTGAAAGTGAGGTTGTTTTATCTCATAAAAAGGATTTCTAGCACACAGCTGTTAGGTGAGGAAAGATAATTCTTTGTGTGTGTGTTATTTTTAATATTAAGTCTTTATTATTTTTTTTACAGAAGTTATTATATATAAGTCAATGACAGTGGTATATAGGACCTGACTTTTGCAGTGACTCTGATGAACTTTCATTAGGGAACATAATCATTACTACCCCCATTCATTCCCACATCCTGTATTCCATATATATCACAGTCCCCAGTTATTAAGTTATCTAAAATACACATTTTAGATCCTACTCCTGAATAGGAGTTCTTAGTCTTTTGCTCTGAGACTGAACAGTTATGCATGTATATTGGGAAAGGGTAATAGGAAAGCTGATAGTCAGTTTGCATGAGAACTATAAATGATGCTTCTGACATGAAGAACATTTAATCAAGGAAGGCAAACTGGGTGCAAACTGGATTAAGGGTGACAACGGAGGCAGAAAGGAGGGTTAACTTTACTCAGAAAGAAAAAATTACAAAACACAGGACAGAGGAGATTTATTTGAAAATGTATAGTAACCATCTGCAGGTTATATTGAGGGGGTCTGGAAAATGCAATGTAATTCATAAGCAAACCTCCCTCCCCCTAAAAAATAGACATTCCTAATGTATTCAGCTACCTGATTAAGTCTTTGCATTCGTTTATTCTGGGCCTGTTCCAAAGCCCATTGAAGTCAATGGAAAGAATCCTATTAATTTCATTGGTCTTTGGATCAAGCCCCATGTTGAGACTTCCAGTAGCACTAATTAAGTTGCATCCTCTCTAGTTAAAGAATATGTCTATACTAAGTTGCATTGGCAGTAAATGCTCAATTATAGTTACCTTCGTCAGGATATAGCTACAATCTCCAAAGAAGGAATAACGTTTCTCATCAAATGTGGAGATGTGGGAACCTCCTTCAATGGAGCAAGTCCCAGGGCAGGAAAGGCTGACACAATTCCACTGGCCTCCAGTACAGGTACTGAAAAAAAAGACAAGAGATGTTTGTTAAGCTTGAGTGACACAAGCTTAAGAAAAATGGGAGAAAATGGGGACAGATGACACCTTCATTTCCCCCCTGCTGTTTTTATCACTGTTTGCAAGTAGACTAACTGCTATTGCATTGTGTCAAGTATTAGGGGGTAGCCGTGTTAGCCTGTATCCACAAAAACAAGGAGGAGTCCGGTGGCACCTTAAAGACTAACAAATTTATTTGGACATAAGATTTCGTGGGTAAAAGGTAAAGTTACTCCCTTCTCTTCATGTGTCAGTATAATAATGCCCGCATCTGTAATTTTCACTCCATGCATCTGAAGAACTGGGTTTTTTACCCATGAAAGCTTATGCCCAAATAAATTTGTTAGTCTTTAAGGTGCCACCGGACTCCTCGTTGTTTTTTTGATATTGCATTAAAAACTCAAAATGAATAAGGGAAAGGCATCTCCGTTTTCATGGTAATGATGTTTTAACCTAAAGCTATTCATTGTAAATCTTTGGACCAAATTCAGCCCTTGCGAAAGTGGAAGCAATTCTATGGAATACCAAGGAATTTTTCTCATACTGAATTTGGACTCTTACCTTCATTAGCATCAGACAAAATTCAGAGCATGTTAAATAATTCTTTACAAAAAATAGATTTTGTGTTTTTATATACATATACACATATACATACACTGAAGTAATATTTAAGCAGCTATGGGGAAGCCATCAATTCACATCCAGAAGCTGTTATATGTGTACACATAATTCCACTATCCATGTAATACACTGACTCTTCAAATTTAAAATGGTGCTTATATAGAACATGCATATTTCATGCTGGAGTCCACCACTGGATTTACCACCAGATTAGGCCTGAATAAAGACTGGGAGTGGTTGGGTCATTACAAAACCTAAACTTAATTTCCCCAATACTAATTTCTCCCTACTGTTACTTACACCTTCTTGTCAACTGTCTGTAATGGGCCACTCTCTTACCACGTCAAAAGTTATTTTTCCTCCCTTGGTATCCTGCTGTTAATTGATTTATCTCGTTAGACTGACCTCACACTTGGTAAAGCAACCCCCATCCTTTCATGTATTTATACCTGCTCCTGTATTTTTCATTTCATGCATCTGATGAAGTGGGTTTTAGCCCATGAAAGCTTATGCCCAAATAAATTTGTTAGTCTCTAAGGTGCCACAAGGACTCCTCGTTGTTTTTGCTGATACAGACTAACACAGCTACCCCTCTGAAACCTGTCACTGGATTTATGTTACTGAGGGCTGATTTGAGCATTCAGTGACTGGATTTGATCATATTGTTAACGTGCCTGGGTTGAAAATGAGATTACTCTTGTCTAAATTCAAGTTTTTGTTCTCGTGTACAGAAAGAAACCAAGGAGATAAACAACTTTAGTAAGTATTTTAAGCCAGAAGCTTCAGACTAATATATTCATTCCCAACCCCTGTGTAATCAGTGATTTCTTGCCCACTGCCAACAATTATTAGGTAATGCACAAAAAAAAGGAAAAGATTTGACAAAAATAGTAGGTTACCATGAAGTGCACTGGGATGCAAAAGAAGCACCTGGACTATATGTTTCACCTTTGTAGGTACAGTGGCACTCACTGAGAGGGATACAGCCAGAGCTGTTAATGTCATCAGACACAGTTCCTAGAGGAAGAAATAGTAAGTTATTCACTTTGTCATGCTTTCCATGTTGTTTCGGAGCACAGCTGTAGAAGACATCGTAAAATATGTTGTGTTTCCTTTTTTATTACAGATGAAATGCAAAAATAAAAAGCATTGTAATAATGGAATCTCTGCTATCTACTGACTGCTGCGGCTGTGTAACCAATCAAAGAGTGGCGGAAATCCTAGAGCTCCTTCACTCTGTGATACTCTGGTAAGTGCCTTGGTGAGATGGGCCTCGCTGATTTGAATTGCAAGATGACAGAGTGACAGGATGTAATGGAGCAAACATCTATAAATTCACATTGGGACCCATTTGTAGTGTAAACACTATACACCCTAAAGCAAGCATATAGTAGTCTCAGGGAGACTAGTTAATTTATTCTGACAAGAGATGAGGACACGAGGGAGCACCACATGTGACCACAGGTAGCATGGGCTGAAGAGCAGGGATGGGAAATATGATGAAGATGATAAATTCACTCCAGTCAGCAAATATTCTCAGCACGAGAACTTAGTTTGCATGGAGATAGCAGGCAGTTACTGTACCTACAATTACAAATTAATGTCCATTTATCATGCATAATTCCTGAAAATGGCCTGATCTTACAAACTGCTGAGTGCTCCCAACTCCCAGTGTTTACAGAGGGAGAGGAGGACAGGCAGCACTCCACAGGAAATGTTCATCACCTTGCAGGATCAGGCTCAAAGTTGCTAATGTCAGGAAACATTTTTGTGGGCAAAAGGTGAGTAAATGTAATCTACTTATTGCACACAGTGGCTAAGGAAGCTGCCAGGTTTAGAGAGTTCCATCTCTAGTATGCTGTCATATACTAATTTCAGTCACTTTGTGGCACATCAGATGTATGTCCTGAATAAACCCCTGTCATCTGAAAGGGTGTTTCCATTAACATAGATAGAAACTATGTACATGTCTCAAGGAAAGAACATGGAACTTCCTGTAGCTGTGGAAAGAGCATTAAAAAGTATAATGTATCCTAGGAAAGCTGCTAAACCTGTACATGTAAATGTGCTGGTGCTTTTGAATATGAGAAAAAGAGATGAATATAAACTTACCTGCGGGACAGACGCAGCCATCGGTACAGTGATCTTCACAGAGGGCTGACCTTTCAGGGTTGGTGCAGGTGTTAGCACAGGGGGAGCCACATTCCTCGTGCTGCATGTTATAAGGGCACGTTTTGTCTGCAAGTAGAATAAAGGATAAAGAGTTCTTAATTTACTCCCCATGTACTGACTTTTCTCATTTAAACCTTGGAGAGGTGACATCTGTATCTGATGATGAATTCCTTAGGAGATGTGCTGATATCTGCAATTTGTTATTGAGTCCTCTGGGGAATACTGGCATCCCCGGTCACTGCAAAATGTTTAAAACCTTTAATTCCTGTAAGGCCCTGATGCACTCAGGTTGAAATTGACTTCGTGAAAATTATGGTATATAGGCCTTTTGAAAGCTGTCCGCACAGGAGTAGATTTCACACTATTGGAATTTGTTGGTGACTAGTTGCAAGCATAGGAGAAAGCATCTTCTTGAGATACTTACTGCACAGTTCTTTAGTTCTCCAGTTCAGAGGTTGTCCACCGGCATGGGCGCACTGCCGGGAGTATTCAGCAAAGGTGTTACAGATGCAGAAATCACGCATAGACTCATCACAGCGGCACAAGTCTTGTACGCAAGAGTCAATGTAGTCTTGAACATCCACCAGTGCATTGCAGCTCACAAATGCTTCACCAGTCAATACTCTCTGGCAGATAGCACTCTAGAAGTGAAAATAGTGGTTGTTAGAGCAACAGAGTTTACAAAATGCCAAAGAACTAATTTTTATTTAGATATTTTAAAGTATTTTGTTCCAAAGACATCCCATTGTCTTCATTTTGATTCATGTTATGTTTTCCTACTCTTCCAAATTTCCCCCAAATTAATTCATTGATGTAAGAAGAGGGAGCAAAGATATTTCAATGAAAAACAAAATACTACAGAAAAGATCCTTACAAATTCATTTGAGCAGTTTGAAAGAGAAGAAGATGTAGGATCCTCGCATTGCTCTGTGGGTCCATCCATCTTCTGCATATTCCCAAACTGCACGTCAGTCAGCTTGATGTCTGTAATAAGCAGTTAAAAAAAATATTATGGCACTTTTATTGGCTTTGAAAATGCAGTGCTAATTTTGTGTGGAGATTGACCCTTATGATGTTGCCCGTGGTAATCACCATGATAGCAAAAGGAAAGAGTGATGAAGAAAGTGTGAATAGCTGGCAAGTGTTTAGTGTTGAAATATTTAAAAAAAACAGGAAATCACTCGTTACAGCTTTATACCCTATGCCTACTATAAAAGTGTTAAATCAAAGGACATAAAATAGTGCATGTCAATATTAAACATCAGTGTAGTTTAATATTAAACGTCAGTATAGTTTCACAACTTATCTGTTGATCAATGCCCCATTCTATTGAAACAAATACTATTAAAGGAAAGAAAATCAAACCACAGTGCTTAATAATGTTGTTGTTACTTACTGTTTGACGTGAACTCATTGTAAATTGGAATGCCATTGAAGTCCCCACAAAGCCCACAGGTCTGATTGGCATATTTCTTATCCAGTTCCACCTAAAAAAATGGGGTAAGTGAGTTACACACAGAGTTAAAATTTACAGTGTATTCAATGTTAAGGATGGAATTCACCACTATCCAGAGGTTCACCACAAAGTCTATGTACTACATACATCGCACTTAGGTTTTCAAAATCAGTGGTGCATAGACATGGTGCTGGCCCTCGACACGGGGTGAAATTAAACCTAAATCAATGCAGTAGTTTGGTCAGACAGGTTTTTTTCATTAGATATGGGTGTTTGGGTGAACAGTATGATGGATTAAACTAAGTCTGGTCTATTTTATAATAATTGATTTCTTATGATCACCGCAGGACTTCAGGATGGGAGTTGTGGCTACTTTGCTTCACTGCAGTCTCCTCCCCTGGTGGACTTCCCACTACTGGAGTTCTGCACCATTGTTTATGCTACTGAATGCCACAGGGGCTGTGAACATCAAAGCAGTGGTGTATTTAGTATCTGAGGAAGATTACATTTCACTAAAAAGATCTATTGGTGGCTTGGGGAGAATGGTGATTATAAACTGAGCTCTGAGAAAAGAAAGGAAATTGAAAGCATAATAGGGTAACACAATGCAATGAAAATGGATAAAAATCCCAAATCACCTAATCTCTGGCTCATAAAAGCCAGAATAATTTAAAAATAAGTATTCTTTGCAACATCTGGAATGTACACTTACCAGAAGGCCATCCAGTTGGTTCCACATGAAGACCAGGCCCATCTTGGCAGTGATTTTCAAATAGCCGCTACTTCTCTCTATCAGGATTCCTGACTGGCTGAAAGGCAGCTGAATTCTGGAGAGAGATCAAAGTGCAATTAAAGTAGGAGTACAGAATTTGACATCCAGTCTTTGAGACATTTTTAATTCAACTGAATAAGGAATTGGCTAGTAATACGCATTGCTAAATATGAACTGCACAAGTTTATAACAATCTTGGAAACCTTCAGTTGGATAATCTCCTATGCAGTTGCTCTCCAAAGTGCTGTGGGGCCAGTGTTGTTTTCTGGTGCCATTCCTTTTCAGTACATCTATACATGATGTTTTAGTGTATAAAATGCAGGTCTGTCTGCTATATGATATAATTCAGACAGTGCTATGCCTGTCTGTTGTTTAACAAGTGCACGTCAAGTGCTCTGCTATTATTATTTTAAAGTCTTAAATAATATAGGACTAGCTTCTCTGGAGGGAATTTGTTCTTTTTTGTTCTTTCTTCATAACTAAGACTAGCTCAGTTGAAATGGCAGAGCTGGGATTTCTGGACTTCCCCACAAGCAGCCTTGAAGGAACAAGATGAAAGGCTTTCTAGTGTAGAACTGGAATCACTGAGATACTTTCCCCCTTCACATTTACACTTGTGGCATCCTTCAGGAGGGAAGGCTCAGGACTCTTGTTCTTTTTCTAATATGTACTCTTTCTTTCTTTCTTTCTTTCTTTCTTTTCTGCTGCAGTGTCTGGCTTCTTGTATTCTTGATCTTGGATTTATTTAGGTATTTTGCTGTATTTGTTTTTATTCTACCTTTATTTTATGGCACCTAGAGGCCTCTAAATTACAACAGTAGAGTGGGGTCTGGAGTGCCCCTGAACTACATGGCACATAAGTCAGGAGGTAATCTGTAAAGGTGGAATAAAGCTCAGCTCTGTACTCCCTTGTTTCTGCTACTGCTCTAAGAAGGGCCTATCCCCTTATGCTGTTTTAGAGCAGCCTGAGGGAATGAGACTGAAATAGGCATCCTTTCAAACAGGCCATTGGGGCAATATCAATGGTGCCAATTTCATGAGATAATAAGACATCTGAACTTACGGGTTGCCATTGACCACAATGGAGTCTGAGGTCAGTTCAATCACCATTCCGTCAAGCTTCAGGGTGATATGGCTGATCACAGGAGAGCTTTCCAGCATAGTGCGCCTGATCTGGATGTTGAAGTCCTCATAGGCAGATTTGCAGTGGGATGCAAAGACATAGTTGCAGAGCCCGGGGAAGTGAAAGATGTCCCCATCAAAGGTCTTGAAGTGGAAGTTTCCCCAGGTGCTGCACACACGTCCATTGTGAGCAGGGTTGCCAGCTGTGGATTCAAAACAAGTTGTAGGGCTGTACTGAAAATTCCAGTGTAAGTCCCTCTATTCACTCACTGGCTAATTCGTTTACATATTTATCCATCTATCTAAACAACAAACCCATTCTTTGTTTTATCTTCTCATCTAGCTATTTATTTATTTGTGTATATATCATTCATTCTGTTAACTTTTCTCTTTAGTCTATCCATCTCTTCACTTACCCTACAGTTCTGATCAATCATTCATAAGGACATGGCATTTGTTTAACTTACGCTTTACAGGCAGCGTCGTTCTCAGTGGTTGGATGATTGTCACTTCTTGTGGTTTAGTTACTGGTACAGAAAAATCTAAGAAAAAGAAATACAATTATCACTAATTCAAAAGGCTCAGTAAACAAATTGGCAAACACAGATATGGATCTCCTAGCCTCATTAGTGGTTAAAGGTTTTTACTGCAAGTAATGCTCACTGGAAAATTTCCAGGGGAGTCTATTGATGGCTTAATGCCACTGCATCAAATTTTGGTTTCCAATGTAAACTGTCATTAATAGCCGGATCCTGCCAACCCTTCCTCAAGTCAGTAGTCCTTTCTCACACAAGGAGCCCAACTGAATCTGACCCCACCTGCCCAAAGTAGGTATCCGCAAGCTGATACCAATTTAATCCTTCATCTACGATAGGAACTATACAAAAAACCTCAGGCAACACAATGGAGATTAAAGTTATTCACAACCTTTGGCTCCCAGCATATGTAAAAGTGGAAAACTGTAGGAGGGTTTCAATGGTTGGGGTTGAGAAACCACAGCAGAACTTGTTTAGATCTCATATTCTTTTCTTAGCCGGAAGTACATGTATACACACACACTCACATACAGCCAACTTCAGGCAAACAACAAATTCTTGTAGAATTCTGCAAATCCTTAATCACGAACCTAGTGCTTTTTCACACAAGAACTCCCATTTGCAGGATCTGGCCCTACGTTTGCTGTGTTCATCCCTAGTATTTCTTCTTTGGTTCCAGTATTGAATGGATTTGAGATTCACAGAAGCTGCAATGTAGTTTCTCAACACCTACTTCTGAATCCTCACTACGGTTTTCCACTTGCATGTATACTGGGAGGCAAAGGTCAAGAATGGTTTTAATGTCCCTTAAAGCTCCTTCTGAGATTTTTTTTAAAGCTCCTGGAGTAAATGAAGGATGATATCTTTATTAATAAATTCATACATTTGAAAGCCAACAGGGACCTTTATGCTCCTGCAGCCTGATCTCCTGCATAACATGGCCCACACGGTATCACCCAGTGGTTGCTCCATTTAGACCAATGATTTGTGGTTGAAACAGAGCATCTCTTTTAGAAAGACAACTGGTCTTGATTTAAAGACTTCAAGGGATAGAGAGCCCACCATCTCCATTGATCAGTTGTTACAATGGTTAGTTACACTCAAGGTTAATAGTGTTTGCCATATTTCCAGTTTGAATTTGTCTACCTTCAGCTTCCAGCTGTTGGGTTTGTCAAGGTTGCTAATTTCAGATTAGGTTATGGTTCAGATTTTCAGGCTGATTAGTTAAATTATAGTGTAATAAATTTACTGGAGAAAGGAACAAGGGACATTTTGTTAGAATTTTTATACAACATGGTTTTTGTTCTGACAGCAGTGTTATACCAACAGCCAATACACATCCCTTATCTTATTACATGTAACTAATATGTTCCAACAAGCAGCATAATATATTTTATACACAAATCTGCACTATCTCTGGTGCATGTACTGAAATACTTTTCATTTTCTGCCTTTCATGAGTGATGCAGTTATCTCAATAGAATGAAAAAGAGTACTTTTTATTACCGATTATCAAATATCTTTGTGATACACATGTACACACACACACCTCATAAAATACACCTTGTAAATTTGCAATATGTACCTATTACGTAATTATAGATTAGATAATTGTGTAGCTTCAATGGACCAGATCCTCAGCTGGTGCAAATCAGCATAGCCCCACTGACTTCAATGGAGTTTCACCAATTTACACCAGCTGAGGATCTGACCCTACAGTACCAATTCCAGGGAGCTGAACATTGTGTATAGAGAATTGTTCCTCTCCCTTCATTTAAAGGCATAGTACACTTTAATCACTCTATGTCTATTGCAATGAGTTTCTAAGACAACATTGGCTGAATTTAGATTGTCAAATAAATAAATAAAGTAAAACAAAAAACACTTACAGTCTTGTCCCTGCTGGACATAATTATAGTCATCATAATTTGCTTGTTGGTCCTCATATTGGGCTTTGACTGGAGGAAAAAAAAAAGTTACTTTGGGGGATTGTGCTCATAAATTCGTCAGTAACACCTGGTTGAACAATAGAATCTGCAAAAGTAGCATTCTATTAGGCAGGGAAACTGCATGGTAAGTGTGGTTTGTTATGCTGTGGCAAATACAAACACACACTCACACAGAGGCAAAGGCTGTGAGGGTGAAAATATTTTAAAAGATGAAAATGGAGAATTTTTCTCCTTAGCTACAGTTCAGATAAAAAAAGACCTCTAGGTCTCTTGTGGTATGATGGCTGGTACACTTCTTTTTTTTTTTTTGTCAATGACAGTGGTATAGAGGGCCTGAACTATGCAGTGACTCTAATGGACTTTGCTTGAGGTGCATAATCATTGCCACCCCCATTCACTCCCACATTCCCTACTCCATACATATCACAATCCCCCCCCCCGTTATTAATTTATCTAAAAAACCACACACACATTTGCAATCTATATATTTTTGTCCTAGGTGTCAGAACTGAGTAGGAGTTCTTAGTCTTCTGCTCTGAGAGTGAACCGGTATGCATGTTCATTGGGAAAGGGTAATAGGAAGGCTAATAGTCAGAGAGCTTTTTCCCTATGCTTTCCCTGAGCAACCTGCTAGCTGGTCACTTAATCTCCACCAAACTCTCACCCTCTCCTCCTTCAAATGCATTCTAAAAACATGGACCTGTCTACCAACTATCGGGTCGGCTCCTCAGCAGTGTAAGTTGGTATAGTTCCATAGACTTAAAGGAGATGGCCTGATTGACCCTAGCTGAGAACCTGACCCATATATCACTCCTTGAGCCAAATTTTTCTTTTGGTTGTAACAAGGAAAATTCTACCGAAATCACTGGGATTATACCAATGAAAACTGAGTGGAGAATTTCTCTCTTTCTTTGCTAGCTACACTGTACCCTCACCGCCCTTCTAAGCTATTTAGAGCAAAGGCTCCATTTGATTCTTTGTTTTTCTGAATTTGTACACTTGAACCATCTGCAAAGTCCTATGTACATCTTGGGAACTATAGAAATAATAACAAATAACCAGAGAAGGGCATAGAGAAGACAGTTTTATATTGGAAGAACCCTTTTTAGAGTGAGAGGGCCAACATATACGCTGTGTTACTGGGAGTAGAATTTGACCCATAATAGCTGGTTTACAACTTCAAACACCAGTAATAATAACTAACATACCCAGAAGCAATGTGGATAGAATTGGGGAGCTGATAGATTTATTTCAGATTATTGATTGGGCCCCCAACTTGTTCAAGATAATAAAAACAATCCCGAAGATATTCCTTTCATTCCTTTGCACCATCATCTCAAAATATAAAGCTGCACTCAACCCCTGTTTAACAAAAAGCACTGCTTAATGAAAACGCAGAATACTGAGGGCACAATACTGAGGGTAGCTCTTGAGCAGACATGGGGAGCACCTGAGCTAAAGGCAGGCAGCATCCTGTATTCCTTGAGTGCAGAACGACTGCTGGCACCACCACTGAGGCTAGTCATCCCAAATGGGTGAGGCTGACATGGGCTGAGGGGTTGTCATGGCCCCATCTGCACTAGCTGGATGTCTGAGGCTGGCCCTGGAGCAACACACTCTGCACCCTTTGAAAGGGTGTATCATTTGATCCTACTGTGTGCCCTTCCCTAGCTTTCTAGCCCAGGGAATCATTCTGTTTCCCTCTCAATGCACATTCAGCACAATGTCTATGCCATGCCACATACCCATGCCCATTGTCAGTGGCTGGTAATGGCACAATTAATCCCTTGGTGTAGTGAGGTATAACAAGGTTTAATAAAGGTTAGCGTGGAACTGCATAGGAGTTAGGAAGAAGTAAAAATATTCATTAGGATTTGTGCATCAGATCAAAAAACACTAGATACTAACATTTTATGAGTTTAGCCATGGAACGAATTAACAAAGGGCACAGTGAATAAAAGATTACACAGAATGTGAATATAAAACATCTTCTTAGACGATAGAAGGCTAGGCCTGTGCACTCTGGATCCTGGTTTCATGAATTCATTAAAAATTATCCTTTGAAAGACAAACTTTGGACTAATCCCTTATGTCACCTTTACTGAAAGTCTCAGTGATAATTATGACTGACATTAATATCAATAGCAGCTTATTTTGCTGATAGGGTGACAGTTAAAAGTTAATGATAAAATCCTAAATGCCTTTACTTAGGGCCCAGTTCTGCTCCCCTTAAGATCAAACCCCTTAGGTTTTACATTAACCTTATGCAGGCAAACTGCCATTCAACCAAAATTCTTATGACATTGGGTAGATTTTAAAAGTGGATCTAACAGGATGACATTTGGCAGGAATAGTGCCCTTGATTCATATATTTTTTTGCTCCATAAGAGCCTTTGGTTACAACAAGAAACTTGGCACCCATGGTCTCTCATGTTACACTCTGTACTGGCTCTTTTTGTGTCATCTTTCTCATCACACCCTTTCCTTCCATCACAAGAGGCTTTTCAGCTAAGATGATCTACAGTATTTAAATCAAGTTTATATTTCAAATGAGTAATGTGCTCCCTCATCACTGTATGTTCTCTATAGCCTGTGACTGCTCTGTTACAGCTAAATTAATTGATCACATTTGTTGTCATGTCTATAAAAACAGGCTTCATTTGTTGTTGGAAATTAGGTTTCTATATGATTATTCATAATCATAATATTATTATAAACTAGCCTGGTTCAGAGCATTTGAAAATTGAAAGCAAAAGAGAACTGGTGAGACTGGTTTTTATCCAGCCATAAAAACTCAGGGATATATTTCTCTAGGAAATGTTTAACTTTAAGGAGTGGAAAGCACCATTTTGTCTATTTTAGCTCTATTTTGTGATATATTAACGAACATAACATTTATACAAATTCTTTAACCAAGAGGTGGAAGTGTGAAGCGTCTTGAATTAATGGAGTGGAACAGCAGCAGAAAAGAAAAAGCTGTGAATTTAAGGTTTAATACCAGAAGGATTGCTATCACAGGGAGCCAATACCAGATAGTATGCAAAGCTTGCAGTCTGTGTTATTAACTTGCCATGTTTTTAACAGCCTTCCATGTTCACATTTGAAAAAACAACAACTATTGAAACTGGTAAAAATGACCAGCGAGAATAATTATATGACTAAATTCTACTCTTAGTTATGCCAACGCAACTCCGTTGACCATGGTTTTTCAATTCATCCAACTGCTTTTCCTGGGCTTGAGGGCAATATAATCAGTGAAGCAACATTAGAAAGGAGAGGAATAGAAAAAGACATGGAAATCTCATTTACAAACAAAATCTTATTAGATGCACAAAGCAAAGAGACACCACTGAAAAGTCTTTCCAACTGCAAAGCAAATTATAAGTTCTCTAAAGTAATAAAAATAAAAAGCAACTATAGCCTCCTACCTTTGTTCTGCATAAAGGTGATCACTAATATTGGTATCCATAGTGGTATTCGTACCCCCCAGCCTATGCCCATCTTGATTGGAGTTCGGTAGGAAGTACCGAACTATAGGCTTCTGAAGAGGCACTTGTCTTTAGACAAGTCTTATATAGCAACAGAATAGGCTTTGGCACAGTTCCCAGATAGTTTCACAAGGTTCTAAAAAGGTGGAGCTTCAGGGATTTTACCTTTCCTCTGCAGGTGCACAGGTAAACAAAGGATGCTCTAGCTTCCTCACGAGCTGGCCAAGTGTATTTGCATTCTGGGAGGAGTGCTATTTTCTAAAAGACTTTTCTACTGAAGGAATTCCAAGTGAGCAGCAATGAGGAACAGTTATGCTCAATCTTACTGTCTCCAGTTATTACAGATCTTGCAATAAATATAAATCCAGAATGACTTTTGGGGAGTCGGGGACGGGATTTAGAATGAGAGAGAGGCAGTTTTTTTGTTATCCTGATTACAGCAGGTGATTTCAGTCTAATTTTTCCAGTGAGCAAAACACTAACTCCTTCTGATCCAAGCTGTGTGATCAAACTTTTCATGTTTGGGACCCTAGTCTTTTGAGAAGAGATTTTGTGCCTCGGTGTATAAATACTCTGCTTCTGAAGATGAAGAGACCAAGAACACTGAAGGCCACCAGTTATCCACATGCCAGGCACAGTACAGGAATATGCAGTCAAGCTCTTCAGTGCTGGATAGTCAAAAACTAATACCCTCCATAGAAGGAATTTTATCCTCAGAGGTGCTTCAGTCAGTGTTGGGTCAAATCTGTATCCCTTCTAAAGGCTTGTCAACACAGGGAATTATTCTGGAATAGCTATTCTTTATTAACCCTGTGTTGATGCTCTTGTTCCAGAATAACAGTTTAGTTTAATAGTTTAATGTTGGAAATGGATTAACTTTTAAATTAGCAACCTATCTTATTCTGGATTAATTTTAATGTGTAGATAAGACCTAAGTTAACATAGCTAATTGAACAGATATATTTAGGTATATGTCTATCCATACTGAACATATGTATTTCTCTTGCCCCAGATAAAAGACAGTGTATTCTATATAATTTGGTGTACATTTCCTTGTTGCACAAAATAAATGTTTTAGCAGCAATGAATTTAAGAAGGTTCCATTATATTGGGAACAATGTGAATGTGAACAATGAGTTTTTGTAAATAGGTCAGTGTATTTATTTAAAGGTCTATTACTTTTCCAAGTTGTCTTTTTATTGTAGTTTACCTTTCAACAGGTCTAGTATTGTCACAGGTATCCTTTCTAGTGGGCTCTGTTTATATTTGGTGAATTAGATGATCAACAGTTAGGGGACAAAGGTAAAAGGCTCATATTTTATCCATTTCCAAGGTGATAGAAGGGAGGTGAGACACTGCTTTCCCTGCACACTTTTAAAATTCACATGGTTTATTGGTGTTATAATAAATGGACTATAGGTAAATAAACATAGTGTAGTGAAGAAAACAATTGGTCAAATTCTGCCATGAATTACACTCTGTGAAATTCTACTCAGTGGGAGTTACAAATCAATATAGCAT